GAGGAGACCTTTAAACTTTTCGCAGGCCTATGGGAAGGGTCGCCCATAGGTTTTCAGGATTGCCCCACTTCACAGATACCGGATGGACTCGTTGGACATTCAACAGAAGTGGACATTGTTGTGGAGGACATATCAGTTCCGGCACTTTTGGACACAGGTGCCACAGTTTCAGTAATGTCTCAATCATTTCATAGGAGTCATCTTAGTCACATCCCCATTCATCCTCTAGGAGACCTTCTTGATATTGAATGTGCTGGAGGGGAGAACCTGCCCTACCTTGGATATGTGGATGTTCTAATACAGACCATCGGTTCTTCCATTTCTTCCAGATCGTGCCTCCTTCTTGTAGTTCCGGAGACCCAGTACAACTCCCGAGTACCAGTGCTCCTTGGAACCAATGTGCTCAAACCTCTACTGGAGGAGTGTAAGACTTTGTTGGCACCAAGTTCCTCCAGAAAGCAGAATTGTTTACACCATACTATTTGGCATTTAGGACCATAGTACTACAGGAGAAGGACATCCGTCGGAACAACTGGAGACTTGCCTATGTCAGGAGTTGTGAACCAACAGGTGTTTTGATTGGACCAAATAGCAGAGTAGTGATCAAGGGTCAGCTAACGAAAGCACTGCAGTTTCCCAAGGTTTGTGCTCTACTGCAACCCACTGTTGATAGTAGGATCTCTCAGGACCTCGACATAGCTCCTATTGTTGTGGATTATGATGCCAATTTTCCAGGGATTGTTGATGTGCACATCTCTAACGTGACTACCAGGACAGTTGTTGTGCCACCTAAAGCCCCTCCTCTGCGAGTTACAACCAGTCTCTCTTGAGGAACCTGTCACAGGTTTGCCAGTGGATAAAGACACTCTCTTAAAGGACATTGATGTTGAGTTGAAGGATCTCACTGACAGCCAGATCGATCAAGGACTTGGACTCATCCTCAAGTTTCAAGACATTTTTTTGCAAGAGTGATAACGATTTGGGACATTCCTCTGCTGTGAAGCACAAGATCAACCTAACAGATGCTGCACCATTTAAACAGAGGCACCGACGAATACCACCGTCCATGTATGATGAAGTTCGAAGTCACTTGACTCAGCTACTTAGTGCTGGAGTCATACGCAAGTCTCATAGTCCCTGGGCCTCGAACGTGGTACTCGCACGCAAGAAAGACGGCAAGCTGCGCATGTGTATTGATTTTCGCCAGCTCAACAAACAAAGTATCAAAGATTCCTATGCCCTGCCAAGAATAGAAGAACTTTTGGACCACTTAGGTGGAATGAAGTACTTTTCCGTGCTGGACATGAAAAGCGGTTACCACCAGGTAGAGTTGTACGAGGAGCACAAGGAGAGAACAGCCTTCACAGTTGGTCCTCTAGGTTTCTACGAGTTTAACCGAATGCCCTTTGGTCTCTGTAATGCCCCAGCTACATACCAGCGTCTCATGGAGGAGTGCCTTGCCGGTCTGAACCTAAATATCTGCCTGATATATTTGGACGACCTTATTATTTTTTCTCGGACATATGAAGAGCACATGGAGAGGTTGGAACTTGTACTTCGTCGTCTTCAGGAGACAGGATTGAAACTAGCCCCCAAGAAGTGCAAGTTCTTCAAGAGACGAGTAAAGTATGTGGGATACATCATCTCAGAGGACGGCATTGAGACAGATCCAGACAAGGTAAATAAGATCCAAGATTGGCCAACTCCAGCAAACCCAGATCAGGTCAGGAAGTTCCTCGGTTTCGCAGGATATTACCGGAAATTTGTCAAGGATTTCTCTTCGATTGCAAGACCCCTTTCCATGCTAATCCCTCAAGGAACAGTCAAGAAATCCAAGTCGCGGAAACCTCTGGAACAAATCAACTGGATTTGGGGACCAGATCAAGAATGTGCATTTCAGGAGCTAAAGAAACGTCTGACCTCACCACCCATCCTGGGATATGCAGACTACAGGAAGCCATTTGAACTGCACATTGACGCCAGCGGTCGTGGTTTAGGATCTGTACTCTACCAGGAGCAGGATGGTCATCTAAAGGTCATCGCCTATGCGAGCAGGTCATTAAACAAGTCAGAAAGGAATTATTCTGCACACAAGCTGGAATTTCTCGGACTGAAATGGGCAGTAACTGAAAAATTCCATGACTATCTATATGGAAGCTACTTCGAGGTTGTAACAGACAACAATCCATTGACATATGTTTTAACTACAGCAAAACTTGACGCCACTGGACATCGATGGCTGGCTGCATTATCTGGATACAACTTCACGATCAGATACAGACTAGGGAAAACTAACATTGATGCGGATACGCTGTCAAGACTCCCAGAATTGAGCAAGACGAAGGAGGACCAAATTCCCACAGATTCTGTACAAGCCATCTGCAACCTCGCAAATACTACCAACTTTGTGGAGAGTCTCTGTTTTGCAACCAGTATCACCAAGGAGGATGAAACACCACTGACAGAGGATATATGTGAAACCAATGCGCGAGACTGGAGGAGAACTCAGGGCAAGGATCCAGTCTTATCCATCATCATGGAACATGTACGATCCGGCCAACGATTGGATAGAAGCCAGCACCTTGGTGATCCTGAAGTTCTCAGCTACTCAAAGGTGTTTCAGAGCCTTAGGATTAGAAGAGGAGTGCTTTTTTCGTATCATCACAGTGGATGGTGAGGAACAGGAACAACTTGTTCTCCCTAAGAGATGTCGGCCATCAGCCCTGCAATGCCTTCATGATGATGTCGGGCATCCTGGACGAGATAGAACATTATCACTGATACGGGAGCGATTCTTTTGGCCAGGGATGACAAAGGACATAGACAGCCACATTCAGAGGTGTGATAGATGTCTCAGGCGCAAATCAACCATGATGAGAGCACCTTTAGTAAGCATTCAGACGTCACAGCCACTGGAGCTTGTGTGCATGGATTTCCTCACACTGGAACCTTCTAAAGGTGGACAACAACACATTCTCGTCGTGACAGATCACTTTACAAAGTATGCCCAAGCCTATCCTACCAAGAATATGACTGCCAAAACCACTGCGGATGTGTTCTTCAACAACTTCATTGTACACTACGGCTTACCCAAAAGGATACATTCTGATCAAGGCCAGAACTTTGTTGGAAAACTCATGACGGAATTCTCGAAAAGTCCAGGACAACACCCTACCATCCAATGGGCAATGGGATAACAGAGCGCTTCAACAGGACGCTCCTAAGCATGTTGGGTACTCTTGATCCAGACAAGAAGAAAGACTGGAAGAGCTACGTGGGACCATTGGTGCATTCTTATAATTGTACCAGACACGAGACCACTGGACAGTCACCGTTTTTCCTGATGTTTGGACGCCATCCCCGTCTGCCTATTGACCTTGCTTTTGGATTGGACATCACCAATGCCAAGTCATCATCTGTATCCAAGTACACAAAGGCACTACAAGACCGACTCAAGACTGCATATGACCTGGCAGTGAAGAACACCAAGGCTGCTCAGTCACGACAGAAGACTAACTATGATCTCAGGACAAGAGCTGCAACCTTAGAGATCGGAGACAGAGTACTGGTGAAGAGAGTTGCTTTCGAGGGCAAGCACAAACTAGCAGACAAGTGGGAGGAGGAAGTATATACTGTGTTGCATCAGCCCAACCTCTCCATACCAGTCTTCACTGTGGCTAAGGAGAACGGAGATGGACCTAGAAGAACACTTCACACGGAATCTTCTTCTTCCAATAGGTTCATTATCACCCCAGCAGCAAGTGAAGACACCACCTATCCCAAAGCCAAGGAAACGTAAGCCAGAGAGCATTCCAAATGTCACTGAGGATGTCACCATCGAGGCAAATGATGAAAGTGAGGAAGAAGATTCAGTAGAGATCCTCGTCTTCTCATCCAAACCTGCGGTAGCAACTGATAACCCAGCTGCAAGGCCAACCGAGGAGAATACAGAAGACACTGAAGATGCCACCAGTTCACAAGTAGTGCCACTACCATCGGAACAGGAAGAAACTTCAGTGAGTACTGAACCAGCATTGGAGCTTGATGTTCATATGGATGAGGACCAACACGTGGATGAATCTGGAGATGTTCACGACTCTGGGCATCAGGAACCTCAAGAACTGGACATTGACGCAATAAAGGAAGAGCCTCAGGATCCAGAGGAGGAGACACTCACAGGGACTACAGTGTCTACTGCAGTACCATCACAGGAGACTGATGGTTTGGAGGAGCAGTCCACGGAGGAAGAGACAGTCCCAAATACATGTGACGTGGTCCCTGTAAATCCATCACCGGAACCTGATGGAACAGCCGAAGAGGTACCTTCTACATTGCAATCACCACCGAGAAGAAGACGACGGTTACTACCGCAAGTACCAGTTAGAGCTTTGAGGAGATCGACACGGCAAAGAAGAGCACCTCAGCGCTATGGTGACATTGTGATGTCAACGTCCGCATCTCAGGCAGCCTGGAGGGCGAGAGCTGAGTATCTGAGGTCACTGTATGATGACGGAGCTTTCGACAGGATGCCAACTCACATCTCAAGATCCATCATGGACCTGGTACATTGCAAGCCCTAATGATGAGGACATCATTCCCCTGGGGAGGGGAAGTGTGTGGCAGGGACATACTTTGTATGTCTGAGTGTTAGGATTAGTTTGCGCCAGTTAGCTTTAAAGTATTGTAAATAATCATTAATTCTCTGTCTTTATTTCAGCATCCAGTAGGCGCTGATATATGCAATGTAAATATGTATTTTAATATATTGCTTTGTTTCAACTCACTACAGTGACTGAAATGAAATAGTTAACAATTCATGTATTTTTAATAAGTTTCTTGATTTCAGCTCATATCAGCGCTGAAACAATTCATATAATTAATCGCTTAGTTTTAGTAGCACAACCAATAGTGTCTACCCAACCGTGACAACACGTTACGATTGGTCCATTCAAACCTGCATGCTTTTTCTATGCCTGAACACCTCGCACCCTGACACAAATGACAAAACTTGTGTGAGAGACAGACAAGCATAGGCGTCAACTTAATTTTCATCAGGTTAGTAAACTAACTATCTTAAATAATGTTTATGCATATCTAATGTAGCAGTCATTCAATAAGTAATCTTAAACACATAGCGTATATTAATAAGGGTAATTAATGCCGTCAGGGTAGTTAACATGTCTTGTAATCGGCACGGCAGGTAAACGCAAAGCTCCCATTTTAATGTGTATCATATATTCCCTTTTAAACATAAACAGCATTAAATAACTTCAAAGCGAGGCATTGTGAGTATGCTTTGTGTATGAATGTTGTCTAATTATTATTATTGCATTTTGCACAAATAATGGCAAAGTGTCTCAATCTAAGATTTTACAGTGTATAAAATATATCTTTCCATGCTTATTGTTATGTCTGCATGGACAGTTTACACTGAATCTGTTTGGTTTTTGATCGCAATCTATCTTATTTCCAGCACACATTATTCCATCGTCTGCTATGGCGGCCAGGCATAAACACGGGCCCCTGTGCCATACATAGGGTATGTAATGTGCCGTACAATACTGTTTATATCATGTGTATATATCATTCTAGCATACAGAATCATCGTTCCTTTATATTAACCTTCTAAGGTAAATAGTGTATGCTGTGCGGTGATTGCCGCCGATATCATTTACGGCTTTGTTTAAGTCATGTCATGAGTTATCGCCCCTGATCTTTGTAAAGTTCAATCCCTCGGCGATCATTATATTTCCGTAATGTTTTAATGTACAGATAATATTGTCGGCGCTCATGCATTCAAGCTCTATTAACATTTATAATGTTAATATACTGAATATATATAAATAGATGTCAATGTATGTTCTGCAAGCATGCCGAACATTGTTATTATATTGTTATTATATTGTTGCTACAATTGTTTCAGGGTTTATCGTGTATGTTGAAATCTACATCCACTTGGAATAAACAGAACTTACAACCCTGCATTCACTTTGCGTGTCGTCATTGTGACCCTGCTACACTTGTCGTATAGCCGCCGTATAGCTTGAATATTGCTGAGTGCGGCGTAAAACTAAACTCACTCACTCAACTCACCCAGTGTAATATATTATGCATGTGATATTCAGTGAGGGACAGTGGAGTGCTATACTTGGACTTGTGCTACAACTTGATAGGCATCTCGGACAGTGACGATGAGAGCATTCTAGAAAGATCTGAAAATTGCTACAAGGAGCCTATTCTAGAAACACCTGCCTTAGTGTAGAATTTTCTAACACCATTTACTTTGGAATATAATTCGGGTGGACTCTTGCCACTCATCTCACATGAAAGCTTAAGTTACCAGAAGACCAGCATTGAGTGAAATGAACGTTATACCTTGCCAGGCCTAGTGACAGGGTGACTTGCTGCTGAGAGGTGAGTAATACCATCACTGTCTTAATTGCTTCAGTCACTGCTCTTTAAATATAGTACCGTTGAATCTGTACTACCACTCTATATTTTGTACTGATAGAGTAATGTCTTTGTATCTATATGTATTGATTTGTGAACATATTTAATTCTAGAATACAACCGTTAAATACATGAAATAGCTTTGTTGTTTTGTTGGCTTCCTTTACCGATGGATAACCTTTGAAATGTTTAGTTTGAATTTGGCAGTCAACACGTGACAATGTCAATCGACCTATTGATAGGCAACGACGAACATACAATGGCTTAAGTCAACAGGGTGATGTTTCATGCGAAATCCTTATGAAATATATTGCAATACAATACCCGTCGAAAGAGGTGAGGTGAAATGGGGTTTAACGTCGTACTTAAGATTATTTCGCTCATATGATGACGTGCATGCGTGTGTATGTATGGTTGCTTGTACTAGCCAAGACTTAAGCTGGTTTTATAGTGCTAGCTCCTGAGATACCATGCCGCAGTTAAACATGAATACCCCACTCAGACACATTATACGGACTCCGAGCCGACCAGTCCTTGTTGTACCCATTAATGCCGAGCGCCAGGCAGGGACAAACAAGTACCATATTTCAACGTCTTTTGGTTTGACGAGGCCGGGGATCGAACACGCGACCCTCCGCTCTCCGGGCAGATGCTCTAACCACTACACCACGGAGGCGGTAACCGTTGAAAAAAGCAATGGCATCATGTTAAAATTTAAATTCACGTCGTCAGTATTTCAGACATATTGTGACTAAGAAGGTTGTAAATTTACAAATGATTAAAAACAAATTGAGATAAAAGACTTACCTGTCTGCAAAGGACAGTAAAATAACTAGAATATCACAGTTATAAATGTAAAAATATGAAAAGCTAAAACATCTTAACTATGAAAGACAATACAATATATAAACAGGCTATAGATTGCCAACAACTGCCGTTAAACATGAACACGCATCAAAATCGTAAGTTTAATCACAAATGGTATTCCGCGACTCAGAAATCAGCCACGTAGACGTGTCATGAGTTTAAGGCTGGTCAATCCGTGGCAGCAGGTGCTAGAACCCTGGGCTGTAGTCATAAGACAAAACGGGGTGGTGCGTTTGCCTAGTAATTGAAGCGTTTGCTCGTCATGCCAAAGACTTGTGCTTCAGTGATGCGCAAGACTTTTTTACAATATTAACAGTTCATAAAATACATTTTTCAATGTGATTTTTGTGGTTGCTTTCAAAACTTACAAAACGGAGTTCTTGAATGATGAATTTGCAACAATTTGATGTAATTTAAGCAGAATGTCTAACCCATGCTCCGACAGGCACAGAGGAAGAAGTATAGTTTAAACTACTTTCTCAAGTATATATTCCAAACTCGGCTCATACAAAAATATAGTTGAATCGCTGGACTACCTGAATAGAGAAGTTGTTCATCCATAAAGTTTGTCCTTATGTGTCTTAATGAACAACAGGCACCCGTGAAGAGCCACCTCCTCGTGGTGGGTTCTGGGTAACGCTAAGCGCTCTTCAACCCCCCGTATGGACCCGGGGGTATATTTGGTCCACAGCACCCCATTGCTGGCCTTATTGTTTATATTTTGGGTGTCTATTGATATATTTAAGAGCTGTTAGTATTGCGTTTGCTTCTGCTGTAAACATAGAGCTATTTTACGGTATTCTAGAAGATATTGTTCTGGATCCAATGACAGTCGCACATGCTACTGCGCCACCATCCTTGGACCCATCTGTAAATAAGGATTTGTAATTACTATATTTACTTTTTAATTGATTATATTCTTGTTTATATTGTAAGTCATTTGTTTCTGATCTTTTAAATGAAGTTAATGTTAGATCGACTTGTGGCCTAACCAATTGCCAAGGAGGAGAAGAAAGAAGACGGGAAAGAGATATATTTTCAAGAACGATGCCGGCAGCAGAAATGAATGGTTTAATTCTGAGCCCAAGAGGCGGAACAAGAGAAGATTTCTTGGTGTACAAATCCTCATAGAGGGGAGTGAACACGCAGTTATATGCAGGGTTAGATTTCTTAGAGTACAGTTTTGTAATATATTGTAAGGATAGTTTTATACGGCGTTGTGCAAGAGATGGCTCATCTGCCTCGACGTAGAGACTATTAATAGGAGAAGTTCTAAAGGATCCAAGACAAAGTCTTAAACCTTGGTGGTGGACAGAATCAAGAAGTTTAAGGTTGCTTTTACAGGCTCCACCATACACGATGGAGCCATAATCAAGTTTGGAACCTGATCCTGATTATAATGATCAGACAAGGTTGATCCCACTCGGACTTGAAATTGCCTGTCTGTTAAAAACTGAGATATAAAAAGAGGTGGACGACACCTTAAACCAAAATTATGTAAATCTTTTAGAATGCCGTGTTTCCAGGTAGTATCGTAGTCTTTCTCAAAATCGAAGAAAATTGATACTACGTGTTGTTTACTTGTAATCGCATTCTTAACATAGGATTCCAATAGTACTAAATGATCAATAGTGCTACGATTTTTCCGGAAACCACATTGTATATTTGTAATTAAGTTATTGGTTTCAAGATGCCAAATTAATCTGTTATGTACCATTCGTTCCATGGTCTTACAGACGCAGATGGTTAAAGATATGGGCCGGTAATTTGATGGATCTGTGTGATCCCGGCCAGGTTTTGCATTACGCCAAGAAGGAGGAAAATTCCCAGATGTCCATAGTTGGTCAAATATATCTAAAAGGGAGATCAGGCATGGTTCAGGCAAGTGTTTCAGTAGCTGATAATGTATATTGCCATCACCCGCTGCGGTGTCATGAGCTTGCTCAAGAGCAGTATGTAGCTCATGAAAAGACTTCATAATAATCTTCACCGTTATTTGATTCGAAATTAAGGTTTGTTTTTCCCTGTTGTTTCTGATACCTCTGAAACTCAGGATCATAATTTTCCGATGATGAATTTTTGGCAAGAGTTTCTCCAATTTTATTAGCAATTTGAGATTTGTCAGTAATTACATTATCACTATCTTTAAGATGGTGAACAGCAGATTTTGAACCTTTGCCTTTTATTCTCTTAACCATATTCCATACCTTAGACATGGCCGTGGGTGAATTAATTTTGGAGACATAGTTCCTCCAAGATTGCCGTTTGTTTTGTTTGAAGGTACGATGTGCCTTCGCATTTAGTATTTTAAATATATTTAAGTTATGGACAGTCGGGTGATGTCGAAAATATTTCTCTGCCCTTTTCCTCGCTTTTCGAGCCTGTTTACAGTCTGCATTAAACCACGGCTTCCGTACATGTGGAGTTGTAGAGGATTGTGGTATACACACTGCAGCTATCTCATTTAACACGTCAGAAAATGCCTGAATTCGATCAGCTCTATCACTGAAACATTCGGGTCTTAGTTTGGATGTGCATACAGTTTGAAACAAGGACCAGTCTGCCTTATTAAAATTCCATCGTGTGTAAGAAGTAACATCAGATGGAAACAGCTTGGAGATTAGTTGTAAGAGTGAGTGAGTGAGTTAATATTTATCGTCACATCGGCAATATTTCAGCCATATCGTGACGAGAACATTATATTAAAGATGAATAAAGTTAGAAATGAAAAAAACTGGCGACGAAGAACAGTAAAACTACTAGTGTATCACAGATATCCATTTAAAACTAAATTAAGCAATTAAATCTAAAATATTGGAACTATAAATGACAAGACAATATAAAAACAGGCTGTAGATTGCTAACGACTGAAGGTAGATCACCATACTAGGGACCATGGGGACTTACAGTACATTTGCTTCCTGCATGGACCCTAGCTGGATTTACACCATCCCTTCAGCTGTCAGCAAGTTTAGACAATTTAGCCATAAGTTAAAATAACACATATTCTACGCTTAAAAATAATGGTATGTTTAAATTTACTTTGAATGTTTTGGGACTTACGTACCCCCACAGGAGGACAATAATTTTACAATGCTTCAACCCTCTGTGAGGATACAGCCGCTAACAATCTCAGCTGCTCAACTAAACTACCAATTTTAAAATATTTATCAATTTACAATTCATTCAACAAATCTAATTCTTTTAAAAATGCAATAACTAAATGAGAACTGATATTATTAAAAAGATCCTTCATCGTTCGTGATTTGAAATAGTTATCCCTTGTGATGGAATATTCAATACAGTCAAGCAGGACATGCTTGACCGTGATTCTTTCATCACAAGGGATGCAAAACGGAGGATCCTCACCTTTTAACAGGTATTCATGAGTATATCTAGTATGGCCAATACGACATCGTCGTATGATGACCTCTTCAAATCTGGACTGACAACCCAAGTAGGTATAACCAACATACGGTTTTATTGCATGTAATTTATTAAGTCCCACTTGAGTGTCCCACTTCTTCTGCATCAGATCGCGGATATAACATCTGACGATGGCTTTATAATCAGAGTATGGAATAAGAAGTAGTGTCACAGATTTGTTGAGTGCTGCCTTGGCAGCAAGATCGGCCATTGTATTCCCAGAAATGCCAACATGGCTGGG